AATCAGAGGCGTCAGCGAAAGGGTGTGCGATGGGCGCAAAAGCATAGAGGGTGGGCGGAAATTGCATCAATTTTGGGGGCTTCGTGATGACGACATCAAAAGAAACCAAACCAGTTCGAAAGCGAAACAAATTTTCGGCGATGACGCCACAATTGCCGTCGCTGTTGCGTTGTTGTTTCTTTTATTGCGTTTTATGTTTTATGCTCGAAAATTAAAAGCCACAGAAAAAGGAAACAAAAAAACTTAAGGCAAAAGAAAGCTGGCAAGATCTCTTGCCGTCCCGCTCGCCCCTTGGACGTGTGTTGCATGTGATTTCATTTAATTTTCGTCTCTGTTTACGTTTACCACAAAGCAAAGGCCGAAAGAGAAGCAGAAACAGAAAATGTTTTCAGCTTTTTTTGGGTTAAAAGTTAATGCGCTCCAGGCACGAATCTTTATGTTCTTCCCCCGAATCTCTAGAGAGTATCTTTCAATTACGTTGGACACGCACAAAGACAGCTTGGGAATTATAAAGGGTGAGTCGAAGGGGTCGGATCTGGTCTTCTCACAGGTATTTTTTGCTTTCCCTAATCCCAAACATAAAAACCACTTTGGTCGTTTCAAAAATCGCTTAATCTCTGGAAGGATTTGTAGGCATCTTTAAGATATTTTTAATTGTTCCTTTGTTTAAAAATGTCATTCTCTAGAATTCAGAATTCAGAAGGGATATATATTCAGAATTTATGGTTTTTTATCCCAAAATAAAATAATAATTGAATTTTTATAAATGTTCTTTGTCTTAAAAATGGTTTTGCTATTTGTTTTGGTACAACACCAACATTTTTTAAAGAAATTTTAATTAGTAAAAACTTGCAAATATAACAATTGAGAAGAATAATAGAATCTTCCTTGGATTATTTAATGATTTTGAGAAAATCAAGAGGGAAAAAGATTTCTCTGTACTTCAAATCAATCATCTTTCGATTGCCCACAAAACCTCATCTAAGATATTTAAGGAGAGTCTCAAAAGATCTCTCCAGAGCTCTTCCTTGGGTTAAAAACTGGTTTCTCTAAACTTATTAACCTAACCACTTCTAATTGGCGGCTAGATATAGCCTTGTGAATTGAGCTTTTGAACTTTAAATTCTAATCCGTCAGCTGAGGAGGTCTGGGAACAAAAAGCCGTACACCTTGAACGACCCACACACATTAGTGGCTGACTAATTAGAGAGTCGGTTGCCGAGAATAACCAATAATAAATCGAAGCCGAATGATACAGCTGAGAGCGCTCGGTTCTGTAATTTTATGCAATTATCGTGCTTGCAGGTCGGACGTTTGCCAATAGCCATTAATATTTAATGCTAGCTGCTCCGACATCTGGCATCTGGTCCAATGTTGGACTTTGATTGGGAACGGAGAGTAGTGCCAGGGCTGTGTTATCAGGAGGCTGAGTCTTTGGGGGGGCTTTCGAATGCTTTTACAATTGAAAATGCCTAAATTGGTTTGAAGTGCTTAGTTAAAGGAGTTTCTTGAAATTTTTTAAGCTAATTATTAAATTAAAATAGTTTTTTTTTTAAGCAGTACTTGAGCATAACTGGTAGTCGCAGAGTACACTGTTTCTGATATATGTTATTCTTAGAGAATCGCCATATTTTCAAGATTATATATCCACAAAACGATATTTTTCGTCTGCCTTATGTTTCCGTTTTGTTGGGGTTTGACTGTAATTCCCTACTTACTTGATCCAGAATCTCCAGGGACTGGTTTATCAGCCAAAAACTGATAAGCGAAAACCGAGCACTCACACTTGGCACCCGGGTGAGCAACGCGTCTAATGCCAACGGATCAAGATTGGCGAATGCCCTGCCAGACTCGGATTCGGAATTGGACTCGGTCTCGGTCTCGTTCTCGGACTCGGACTCCAACTCGCTTTCTGTTCGGCCAAAAATCGTTTCTATATGCGTAGCGGCGGCCCCAGCACATCTTCCCTACCAAAACGGGGGGAAAACAATTGAAAAAACCAAGCCACCCCTGGGCTTTTCCCGCCTCGAAACCTCAAACCCGCCCTGGAAAGTCGGGCGGTACTACTGCGCATGTTTCCACATTCTTTTGCAGTTTCCTTTGTGAAGCGATTCGCCCTGCACATATAGGAACATATAGAATTTTATAGGGGCAGAAAATGTCTCATTGTTTCCTGTTTCTCTTACCTGGCCGGCAGTCAAGGCATTTTTCATTAGAATGATAACTTGGCAAGAAATTGCGTCTTATCAGGAGGGCCTCTCGGCTTCCTTTCCCTCGTTTTCCCATTCTTTCCCCTAAGTGCAATTGCAGTTACAGAGAGTGGCAGGCGAGGGTATTTTGAAATACAACCAGTTTGCTGACATTTGCATTTCTACTCGAACGATTCCCTGAAAAATGGATCCGACAGATCGCTCTGTCCAGGAATTTGAGTTCATAATGAATGTAATGAGCCCGCTCCTCTAATGGGTGGGTAGGGGCATCGAGGAAATAGGGTGATATGGTATCATTTACCAAGACTATATCTATATCTTTGGCTGAAAAAAAGTTAGAATATATGTATAATTATTGATTTATAAACAATTTAAAATGAAACCATGGATCTACAAATAATTTAAAATATTAATTTAAACCAAATCTTCACCTACTATTAACATTTAAAGTGATCTAATAATATATGATATTATGATACCGTAAGAAGTGGAATAAAAATGGATTGGTTTTTTATAAATTTCAGAGATATATGTGAATAATATTAATTCTATACACTTTGCAATTAACTTTTCCTAACTTAAGTTTATCGATGGTTATTAAATCAATCCTTAAAAAATTCCCTAAGTAAAAAACCCTACTTCTGTCCAATTTCTGTCAATCATTGGGCGACTATACAGCAAGAATTGAAGGAACACTTTCAGATCACTTCTGACAGTGTTGTATTTCCTGGCCACAATCTTGGCCAAGGGCAAACAATCTGCGCCTAATTGGTAACCAAAGAGCTCGCTGTTTCTCAAATAAATATAATTAGAAGGTCTTTGGCGTTTGAATTACGGATTTCTTCGGGTTTGAGTTTTCCGTATCAGTGAACGCTCATTTGCGATGGTAATTCAAAGGGCGGGGTGTAAAAAGAAATGCTTTCGGGTCAGGTAGAGGTTGCGAAAACTGTAAACCGAAACGATTTCTGGGGATGGCAATGGATTCGGATGGGTTGGGGGTGCCATGAGAAGGTCGTTTGCCCGAGCTGCTGGGCATTTCCCCCTGGAGTGAGTCCGGGAATCCGTGACACGGAATTTCCATTTAGCTCCCGATCTGAACGAGACTGCGTGTGTGTGTGTGTGTGCGTTAATGAAGGTATTTGAGCATTTGAGCTGAGCAAGTTGCAGTTCCACTGCACAGAGAAAATAAAATTGATTTTAGACATACACATATAATAATATTTGTATACCATATGTATGCAATCTTCCAGGATTCACTATATATTCTATAACTTTCATAAAAATGATCAAACAATTAATCCAAAAATATTAGAACTTAGTTCAGAACCAGTTTGTTTTATAATCTCAGAGATTTTATAAATTCTTAAATATTAGAATATATTTGAAATATCAAGTTGTTTTGTTCTCGGTGTATTTTTGAAAAGGGAAACCCAACCGACTCAAGAAACTCCAGCTCCGAAAAGTCGTTGCCCAAAAAGTGAACAAGAAGAAGAAGAGGCCAGAGAAAGAGAGCGAGAGAGGCAGAGAAGAAAGGGCAGCCGACAATGCAGCTAAGTAAACAAAAAGAGGCGAAGATGGGAGAGAGCGAAGAAAGGAAAACATTTACAAAAGAAAGTTCGTTGAACTGGTGTGCGTGTGTGTGTCAGTTTTGTTGTGTGGCTACTTTGCTCCCCCCTTAGACCCATGGATTCCCCTACTGACTCCCATGACTTCCCTTGGAATATGGGATGTATGGATGTGATGACGTCTTCAGGTTGAATTTCAAACCAAACAATAACACAGAAATGTCAACGGCAACGTCAGTGACCGCTACACTTTAGCTTAGCTTAGCCCTGGATCAGAGAAAAGCCTCTTCCGAGGATCGATTTTCAACAGCTGGATTCTCAATTTTCATTCTAGAAAATGAATTCCCTATATGTATGCATGTATGTGCATATGTATGTACATTCAAACATTGTGATGTAATCTGACGTTGTTGTTTAAAAAACCTTTGAAAATAATATCGGTTCTGGTATTACATTATTCAATAAGCAAAACAACAAGAACCTAATCGTGAACGCTGGCCTTTATAATGGAAAAAAATGTAGTTCCCAATCAAAATGATTGTAAATTAACCCAGATATTAACGTGGTCTTGTTTGATAAGTCTGAGGTTTCCATCGTTTCTTAGACAAAGATCGAATAGGATGTAAATCCTATTACTATAATTCAATAAAAATCAAATAATTGAATACAAGAAATTAAATTAGTAATTAGTTCTATGCCAAACTTTATAAAATAATAACACTTTTAATTAAAGTTTATTTTTTCTTAAGGTATTCGAGCTGTGTTAATATTTAGAGAGTTTACTGTAATTATCACTGCCAAAAAAAAAAAAAAAAAAAAATTGTTTAGCTAAGCCGCTCATTTTTGCAAAGCAACGCATAAAATGGAATGGAGAAAGGGAATGAAGAAAGGCAACAAGCGATCGGTTATTGCTGCAAAGTGTTTGTTGCGATTAGGGTGAATAATTATCAATAAAGTTAGTGCATATGGAAACGCAAATTCGTCACATATGTATGTATTTACATACATACATATACATATATGTATACATACCTGCATGCACGGCATTCAGCGACACGAAAACATCACGAATACATGAGCTGCATTTACATACATATGTATGTATGTACAAACAGCCACAAATGTACATACGCTGTTCGTTGAGTTTTGCGACGACGACGACGACTACGAATGAACGAAACAAAAACGATGAAGAACACAACGCGATGAAAACGCGGCTATGTGTGAGTGAGAACATCGTCCGTGTGTAGAGTTCTACAGCCAGGTGGTGGGTGCAGGGGGGACGGGAGAGCCAAAGAGAGGAAGGGAGACTAACGAAGAGCGACAGAGACACACACAAATAAGCGCGCGCCTGTTGCAAAATTCAGTTCTGCGCTCTCATTCGTGAAGAAAGGATGTACACGCCGGTTGTAGCCGAATGAATCCGTGTACATCATCACCCCCGCACGGCCACAGAGCCCCAGCTGCTAGTTTGGAACTGCTTGATATGGGAGCCAAGGAGGACTATGATGAATTACGCGATTTGCTCCACTCCTGGGACGTCGCCGATCTGCTACCTCTTCTGCAAGGTAAACATTAACATGCACACAAACACAAGTACAAAGAAGAGGCGCGATAAAGAGCCGGCAAAGAGAGATGGTAGCATTCGTCACTGCCAACTTAACTAAGAACTCAAAACCCCAGTTTCGTTGAGTTTATGAAAAAAAGTATTCCAAGAAGCGCACAAACTTGATTCCGTGGATCGAATTTATGTGGAAATGGCATTGATAAAGCTCTCGACTATTAGAAATGCAGTGGAGCCTCTCCAAAGATTACTGTATTATTCTTCCACGTTTGAAAACAGTGGCTTCACCAGGGGAACTAAAGGTTTTATAAAAACCACCTTATGAAATCACATTTTATTATTATAAATTTTTTTTTTTTACGGAAATCTTTGTTTTTGTTTGGTTGAATTTTTTTTTTTTTTAATTTTGACGAGTAAGGAAATAATATAATTTTTTTATTGGATTCTTATTCAATTTCAAAACAAAAAAAAAAAAAAAAAAAATAAATAATCAATACCTAATAATTAATTAATTAGAATTTAAATGCCGAATCTGAGTAGTATATGAATACATATGTACATATGCATGTACATATGAATGTATTTGCTATCAAGACCTACCTTCTGATTATTGGTTATTCGTGTCTTTCAGATGAGGCCATCAACGTGGACGAGTTGCAGATGATCAAACGGCACCACTTGTCCGAGTTGCTGCGAAATTTTCGGTTTGGCACCCGGATTCGCTTTGAGCATAACTTGGAGCGCTGGCGTCGCTGGCTGAATGTGCCGCTGCAGGGAACCCAAACTCAGGGCTCCGTCCACTGCAGCGGATGTCGGTGCTCAGAGGTTCAGCCGCAGGCCCAGGTCCAGTCGGAATCGCTATGCCAGCAACCGATGGTGGAGATCAATGATTCAGACCCAATGAGCGACAGTGGAAGGAAGAGTTTGGATCAGTCAAAGACCATTCCGGCAGAGTCGCTAGTGGCACTTAGTGAGCAACCCCCAATGCTCGTTCCCTTTCAGAAAAGCCCACCCAAGGCGCCAGACTTGATGATGGTCAAGGAGGAGGAGCAGCCTTTAATGGGAAGCGGAGTTGGAGTTGGCGGCGTGGCTCTTGGAGTCGAGGAAGCCATAGACATCAAACCATCTGGAGGAACATTTGCTGGCGGTGAAGACCAAATGTCGTCGTCCGTTGATCACGGAGTCAGCGTTCTGGGCATCCTGCAGTCGTGTGGCGTGAAAGCCCAAGCCTTGCTGGAACGCATCGGTCAGAATACGCCGCTGGATGCTGTGCAGCGCCTGCTGTTGATCCAGCTGGTGTGCAGCTACTACGAAGATAACCAGCTGCACCTGACCCTGCAACGCAGTCATCTGCTGGAGCGCGAGATTCTACAGCTGTTTCCGTGCGAGGAGCTACACTATTACCGCACCGAGCGGCGTGGCAAGATCTACGTGAGATTCACCAACATGAAGCGGAGCAAGCGCATGAGCTCCTCGCGGCAGGACACCAAGCGTCGACGCACTGATAGCATTCGGCCATCAGGAGGACAGATATCCTTTTCCTCCGATCTGGGGCCCCAGCCCAAGGCGAATGTGAACAGCTTTGCTGGCGAGCAGATCTCCAGTCCGGATCGCTCCGATTGACGTAGTTTTGTAAGGAGAAGAAGCTAGGCCCCAAACGTAATGCTAATCATAGGTTAAGTGCACCCCAAATGTGAAATCTATCTGTTTTATTTTTGTGCCACTGGATGTATAATAGTAGGGTATTTTGCGGGTCGACGCGCGATCCGCCGACTGACGATACTAAATAGCAACTGATTCTGGTTACACGACGACGACTCTGCACTTTTCTTTGAGGGGAGTAAAGGCGGGCGGGCGAGCGAGGGCGGTGGCCCGAAGTGGCTACAAAAAGTGATTACATCAGCAGCGAAAATAGCCAGGCGGCGGTGTGTTAACAATTGGCTAACACGACACCAGGCGACTTGTGCTGACTAAACTGCAAGAAGAGTATCCGCGAGATACGCACAGAGTAATAAGAAAATGTCGACGAGGAAACTAATTAATTAAGTTGCCTTGGCCGCTTCTCTGGGCTCTGGCTCTTTCTATTCTTCAGCTCCAGCTCCAGCTCTGGCTGTGGCTCCAGTTTCCCCGGCACATGTTCGCTGCTAATTGCCTTTATCAGCGACGCGACAGAGAGCAAACAAAACTATCTTTATCTGCAGGCCCCGCCGGATAGCAAAATAGCAGCGTATAATTGCCATTTGGTTCTATATATTTTCCACCCCCAATGTGTTCCCTATTTTTCCTATTTTCCCTATTTTCACCCCTTTGGTTTTTTCTTGTTTCAACGCCCATTTTCGCCGCGATTTTTCAGCGATTTGTGCATTGTTCAGGCTGCCAGCCAGCGAGCGCATTCCAATAGATCTCATCGTCATGTAAAAGGGGTATCTTCTCTGCTTTTCGTTTTTTGTTTTTTTTTTCGTTTTTCAAGCGTTTTCAAGCAAGCAATTGTTCTGTGCATGTATCTGATGGATACGAGTGCGCTGCCAAGTAGTAAATAGGTCGCTGGCAACAAGCTGGTGTATTTTGTATGTATATATCTGTGTATTTCTCAGCTGCAAAGCTACAAACTATTTTATATTTGTTGCTTTCGGCCAGCGAAAGCGTATCGTTGAGCTTTGCCTGCCCGCTTGGCTGCAAAAGCTCGCCTCCGTCCACTTAGTATCTGTTAGATACTTTTTAGATATTTTTACTGCCTTTTGATTTTCACGAATTCTGGCTCAATACAAGCCATCCCAATTGGGCTAGTTCTTGGTCGCAAATATAGTTCTTTCTCAGTGAGTAATCCCGTTCGGTTTCGACTATCTTATCTGCGTTTTTTTCGAGCTTTTTCCAAGGCATTTGGATTGCTGGACAAGCGACTCGCACAGATACAGATACAGATACAGCTGCTGGTGCTGGTATGATGTGGCTGTGGCTGTGCTGTTGCCTTTGCTTTTTCGAGTGGGGAAAGTAGGTCAATTACACGTGTCGTGTGTGTATGTACTGCGGCCCGTACATATGTCTATGGGGCCCCGTACATAGAGACGGTTTTTATGCTTGGCCAGCATAATCAAACAAGCTCTTTGTGTTGCCAGCGTTTTCTGGTTTTTCTGTGTTTTTCTCTTTTTCTGGTTTTCTGGTTTCTTTGGTTTTTCGTTCTCCGTTTCTTCGTGGCCTGATCATAAGTTTACTATTTGCTCAGTTCTTCGTTCTCCATTCTTTGTTTTCTCTTTATTTCCCTCTGGTTTCTAGGCCAAAACGCTGCAATGGGCGTTCGTTCGTTCTTTTTGTTTATCTTCCATGGAGTTCTGGCGGACGGAACTCGGACTGTAGATACATATATCTACAAATTGTAGATAGATAGCTCGCTGTTGTAGCTGACTGAGATAAAAAATCGGGCGAGGGCCCTTTTGGGGGGTTTTTTTAGAGAGAAATAGCACTCTGAAAATGTAAATAAAACAATAAATTTCTGTAGTTTTAGCCCTTTTTTCTTAAGTTTCCTTTTAATGGGAAACTAGGTTAGTTTTGTTTAAGGGAACTATAAAGGAACCGGAGTTGTTTTGTAAACTTACTTAAATGGTTAAATTAAAATCTATACAATAATATTATTTATCTTTGAGGTAAAAATGGAAACTTATAGAACCCCTAAAGTAACAATTAGGCACTGCAAATTTTTAAAATAATATTTACGATTAAGATAAAAGGGCTGACCGAAGTTTGCATCGATATTTTTATATGGTAATTAAATCAAAATTAAGAAAAAACATAACTAAATAAAAAGAGCAGTAATTTCTGTTAAAAAAAAAATTTTTTTTAAGTTATTTCTTAATAGCTTAATCTTCATACCGAATTTAGAATTTAAAAAAATACATTTTATGTAAAGCCTATAAAATGGGTATTTTTTCTAGCTTCTAACAGAATAAAAAATAATAAATAATTATAATTATATTTTAATTTATGTATGTACATATGTACTTTTGACTAAAACTAAAATAGAAACGCGTAGATATACCAGGAATTATAAAATAGTAATTAATTGCCTTTTTAAGGCCATATTTTTCATAATTCTTATATGGAAAACAACAACATATTTAAACAATTACTAAAAATAATAGTTTATTTCTAAGTTAAACACATCAAATTACTAGTTCTACTTTATTTCTCCCATTTTTAGACGCCAAAAACTATGTCTTATTCCCAAAAAATAGAATTATCGAAGCTCCCAAATGCTTGGAGGACATTTTTCCCGTGTGGAAAGGACGTTGAAAGGACAAGGAAAAGCATTGGAATGTGCGAATGCGGGGTTGGATGCGGGTGTAGGTACATACACCAAATGGCGCAATTTAGTGGGTGGCATTTTCGGTGCTCCCAGAGGGCGAGTGGTGGTGGGGCGGATGGGGAGTGAGATAAAAAACCGCCCAACTACAACGCATACAAACATATATACCCGCAAATTGGGTCAATCGATAAAAGAGGCAGCGACGCTGGCAGCGACAGCGGCACATGCGCTGACACAGAGGTCGGGGAAGGGGTGTGGCGCCCAAGGAGCTTTCCCTCCCAGCTTTTCCAGCTTTTCCTTTTTCCCTCGCTGCCGGGAGAGAGCGAGAGAGGCGAGAGCCTGTTGTGGGTAATCCAATTGTAGGTGGCTCCAAATATCATATATATATATATATAGCGAGCCTTGTAGTATATATAGCCGCGTTCCATATACATTTATAGCAGCCTTGCTGCCGTTACATGGCTCCAGCAATATGGATTACATCACACGAGGTTCTGTTTCTGCAGCACTGGGTGTCTGGGTGTGTGTGTGTGTGTGTGACTTTTAATATTTTATAGGGCAGCTGTCACTGCTCCTGCTGCTCCAGTTGCCACCCGAAAAAGGCGCCACCAACGCACCCCATAAAAACCCTCCCAAAAGCAGCCACTAACTGCGGGCTCATAAAACAGAGTTTGGGGTATACAGTTGCGGCAAAAAAAATAGCACCATGACATATATTTTTCATTATTGATTAATTGTTTTATAACTATTCATATATTTAACTTGTTTAAGGCTTTTATTTTTACTTTAGGCTCTAATTTATCGAAATACACTGCAAGTGTCGTCGATAATAACATGAAATTGAAATATTTACATTAAGAATGTGAACGTTGAACATTTTAGGCGGCAACAAAAATAGCACTATTTCAAAAATAACTTAAGAAAACGAAAAAAAACGAAAAAAAATACGGGAAGTTCTGGAATATTTGTATTCATTTGTATTCCTTATCGATATAGTGTATTAATATTTCGTTGTAAAAGCTTTGGCAGCAATGACAGCAGCACAACGTCTCGGCATAGAATTGACCAAGTTTTGACACCTTTCCCGTGGAATACTGCTCCATAATTCTTGAATGGTGGCCCAGAGCTCCTGATTAATCCTTGGTTTTGCATTGGAAACATATTTTTTTTACATCAGACCAAAGATTCTCTATCGGGTTTTAAGTCTGGAGACTGAGCAGGCCAATCCATTAGGTGAAGGGATCTGTCTTGAAACCACTTAGGAGCTTTCTTGCTGGTATGTTTAGGGTCGTTATCCTGTTGGAAGACCCACAACAACGGTATTTCGTATTCTGCATAAGACAGCATCACTGTTAGCAAAATATCGCAATAGACATGTTGATCCATAATACCTTTTATCCAATGTATTGGACCCACTCCGTAATAAGAAAAGCATGCCCAAACCATGATACTCGTTCCACCGTGTTTTATGGTCTTGCAGGTGAAACTTGGGCGGTATTCCGAATTGGGGGGTCGCCGTACATAGGATCGAGATCCTCTTCCTCCAAATAGCACGATTTTGCTTTCATCCGACCATAGGATGTTTGGGCATGCTTTTCTTATTACGGAGTGGGTCCAATACATTGGATAAAAGGTATTATGGATCAACATGTCTATTGCGATATTTTGCTAACAGTGATGCTGTCTTATGCAGAATACGAAATACCGTTGTTGTGGGTCTTCCAACAGGATAACGACCCTAAACATAGCAGCAAGAAAGCTCCTAAGTGGTTTCAAGACAGATCCCTTCACCTAATGGATTGGCCTGCTCAGTCTCCAGACTTAAACCCGATAGAGAATCTTTGGTCTGATGTAAAAAAATATGTTTCCAATGCAAAACCAAGGATTAATCAGGAGCTCTGGGCCACCATTCAAGAATCATGGAGCAGTATTCCACGGGAAAGGTGTCAAAACTTGGTCAATTCTATGCCGAGACGTTGTGCTGCTGTCATTGCTGCCAAAGCTTTTACAACGAAATATTAATACACTATATCGATAAGGAATACAAATGAATACAAATATTCCAGAACTTCCCGTATTTTTTTCGTTTTTTTTCGTTTTCTTAAGTTATTTTTGAAATAGTGCTATTTTTGTTGCCGCCTAAAATGTTCAACGTTCACATTCATAATGTAAATATTTCAATTTCATGTTATTATCGACGACACTTGCAGTGTATTTCGATAAATTAGAGCCTAAAGTAAAAATAAAAGCCTTAAACAAGTTAAATATATGAATAGTTATAAAACAAATAATCAATGAAGAAAAATATATGTCATAGTGCTATTTTTTTTGCCGCAGCTGTATATATGTATATAACATACATATATATTGCTGATAAAATAAATAAAAGGAACCAGAGCCCGGAGTCGTAATGAATGTTTTTTGCCTTTTCCAGGGCTGATTAAATTTTTGCCAGCAAAATTCTAAGTATTTCTTAGCCCGCAAGAATGTTAAACACTGTGGCCTCTCTCA